TAGAAATGTTATAATAATAATAATAATAATAATAATAATAACAACAACAACAACAACAACAACAACAACTAATTTCCTCTACCATAACTCGTCCCAATGTGAGAAACATTAGACAGCGCCCTATTAATATGGATACAGTGTAATTGCATAAGGTGATATTATTACTTTTAGTGACATATTCTGAAGCTTTTTTTCTAAGAAGTAACATTAATATGTTATCTATAATGAAAATGTTCAAAGATAAAATGATTACTTCTACAAATGCAAATAGTAGGCTGTTTTCGGTCATCTTCATCTGCTGCTGGGCATGGTTTAAGCGGATGCCAAGTTCATCCCACTTCTCCTTCAACAACGACCCTAAAAAACAAAACAGAACTATATTGAATGCAAACAATAAGAATGTAATACAGAGGTTTATGAAACCACAACAAGTATTCCGCATGCTACAAAACCAGTCTGAATTTAACAGATGTATTATGCAAATTTTTCAGAGTCACAGATCAGGTTCTGCAGATTATATTCCAGCAAATAATACCTTAAACTGCTCTAGAAATTTAATTATTTAAACAGCCACTGCTGTTTTCACCCTATGAAATCATACCAGCAGAACCACCAAGGATCAAAAACAACGTATCAGGGAAGTCATATGATGTGATCAAACAATAATTGAGGCTTGGGCAATTGGAACACAGTATTTTGAAATTTTCAGACACAAACCTATGCTCCAGGAAACTGGAAAACAAGCATAACCCCCAGTAATTTATACTTCTTTCTGACTTGCTTGTATGATGTTCTTCTGATTAGACAAAGGGATGGTGACAATGCCTTATCTTTTATCAGTATTCTTAGAAAACTAGCCACTAAGATAGCAGTTCCTCTATGGTTTTCCCTTTCCCATTTCTCATCTCAGAATATTTTCCTCCTCCTGACTCTCCAGCCACAGCATTCAGTCTACTTTCATCTGGGATAAAGTGTGGACTATTTTAACACCACCTCCTATAATCTAGTCAATCAAGAATAATTATGTGACAACATCTATTTTTATAGTTTTACCATATTGTTCATTAGATTGTTCAGTGAGACTTACAAGAAGGCCCCAACAGTCTCCTGGCAAGTCACTGATTAGATCCACACCAACTTCAATAATGCTATTGAACAAAGTGTGGCCCACCTGATGTTGCTGGACTGCCATGTTTGGGAAGGCTGGTCTAGAGGAGCACACATTTTCCATTACTGGTATTGACCATTCACATAATTGTGCCTTTGAGACAGCTTTCTCCAGCCCCGCTCCACATCTTGCTTCATCTGAATTCTAAAGGGAATCATACCCACTAAAAATGCTTTACAACTCTATGCACACTGAACGCATGATCCACCCAACTTTGAAAAATATTCAAATGTCATTGTTTTCAATGCTAAGTTAAGCACCTAAGTAAATTTTCCTTTGAAATCAATGGGATTTAGCGTTTAACTTTAACTAGATTCTGTTCACTATGATACAATTTTTAAAGGACAATCTTTAAAAAGAAAGTTAAGAGGTGCCTTACCGGATGCAGTTTCTTTAGTTTCCTTAGTAATAGCAGATTTATGAACATGCTGCATCAGTTTGAGAAGATCATGCCACCGCTTTTGTCTGTAGCATGTTTGGATATGCCCTAAGAAAGTCTGATTTTGCTTTCTTGAAAATGTCTGTGCAAAAAGCTCTTCAAATGATTCTCTCAAGGGCATCCAAATCAATTTGTTATCCACTGGCTTGTAGCTGTAAAAATATAAAGAAACAGAAGACAACAAAGACATGTTTTTGGGGGAAAAAAGTATCTCCCCTGTCCTGTTAATTTTTCTAGTTATACAAAAAATAGTGAAAATGTTCACCCTAAACTGCACACCACCTTCCCCTTCTATACTTCAATATCTCCTTTTGCCCTGTGGTTGTGCATTTCCCCCTCTTGTTCTTCCCAGTGTATTTGCAAATCTGCTTGCTATGCAACGGTGGTTGCTTTTTCAAGAATACTTTTTTGTCAAGGAATTCATCCTTCCTGGCCAGAATGGATGGAAAACATGCACAAATACTATTACATACAAATTTCTGCAGTACCCCATAGCCAACACATCCTGCATGGTTTATAATGCAAACACGATACTTCTAATGCATCCAGAAAGTAAAAGTCAGTTTCTAATAAATGGGAGATTGAATAAGTAGCTGATTAGGGCTATAAACACTTTTAAAAACTGGCAGGAAATAAGATAAAAGGAATGCCTTTGGGGAAAATACACTTGTTCACACCTGGAGAAAATTCAGTGAAGCACTATGGAAAACAAATAATTATGAAACAAAGATTTTTTTAAAAAAATATTCGTATTTGAAAACCATACAGAAACCTTGCCTCAGTACCTGTCTATACAGCAAGTTTTAACAAGCAATGCTGGGTGATACTACCAGGCAGCTGGAGAATGACTTTACAAACTAAAGTGAGCATTTCATGAAACTTTCAGTATCCGTAAATGTGAAAAATGTTAACGCTTTCTGTATCTATGCATTAGTTCAACAATCAGAATCCTGTTAGTTTGAAACCAGTCTGTCTGCTGTCCAAAAGAGTATAGTATGTAAAATACTTTGGCAAACTCCAAGCCTCAATTATGTGGATATATCTTCCCCTGAAATCAATGGCATTCCAATGTCTGTGTAGTGTAAGGTTCTTATCAAGAAAAATACAAATGGCAGGAAAGGCAAGATACTGGGTATAGCCTTAAGTTATAGAAGTGGACTTATGCTAATGCTACAGGACTTTCCCTCCTACTCACTGCAGCATCTAGGCCCACCCCTCAAATCTGTTCTAGAGTTTCTCTCATCCCTTCAGAGAAGATGGTGGGAAGGACAGCTATTGGGAGAAAGTGGAAATGGCACTACTGATGGAAGGTATTTAGTTAGCAGGACGCACTAACTGAATACATCCCACTGTACTGAGAAAACACTGCAGACTCATAAGGCTGATCAGATGACTAATTGCAATGGTTAAGAGAATTGTTAAGCCACTTACCCTCCTAGAAGATCTGCAGTATCACTCTGCTGATTCATATTGATAACCTTCAAACTGTGTCCTTGAAACAAGAACAAGCAGAAAACACACTGAATCACTGCATGAATGACTTCTTGATTCTTAGTGTAAGTCCCCAGATTATACTACATTTTACCTGTGATATGGGCCAGGTACTGAACAGTAGATGTTTTACCCGTCCCTGTTTCACCCACCAATAGCACAGGTTCTCCTCTGTCAACACACACAGCAAGCTGCTCAATTAATACTAAAGATGGACGTGTGGGTGCAAAGGTCTGCTTTTTCCTGTCAATACACAGAAAGGTAAACATCTTCAGTTATCAATACTTCGTATGTTATAGCTGCAACATCTCCAAGCCAATTTCAACAGCTAATTTTACAAATATATTATTTCTCTGACCAGGTTTCCAAAACACCCAACTATAGATGACAAAAAATATTGCTGTGGTAATTACAAGCATATTACATAATATGAAAGCAAATGCAAAGCAAAACGACTACAGATTACATTATTTATGCCACTTTCTTAATTTTCTTTATTTGGATTAAGTGCATGGGTTTCTGATTCAGATCAGGAATGACACTTCCAAAACTCTTTCTCACCCCACAACTCCATAGGAGTGAAATACAAGCCATCATTCTTTAATCCACCCAGAAAGGTGTTAAGGGAAGCTTTGAACCTCATTTCTGCATATGCAAATTGGAGTTCACACACTTACTCCAAAGACAAACAAAGGAGCTACACACTATGTCATTAATGTAACATGTAGTTTGGTCTGCAGTTTTGAAGAATGTCACTAAAATCGTCAATACCTTTGCACAAGCAGTTTATGTGTTTGCTTCCGAAAGAGCCGGACCCTTCCCACAGAAACTTCTTGCTCTCCTATTACAATTTCAGGCTTATAAAGTTGACAATAGTATTCCGCCTACAGAAAAAGAGCGCATGTGGTTAGTTCTGCTTACTAAAACAAGTACAAGCAGCAGCCCAGCGCCAAACGCGTGACACAGTCGTAGAATCACATTGCCAGGAGTTTGGGCCAGCTTTTGACTGATTTTTGATTGCCAATAAAACTGGTCCATGACACATTACAAAGTGTTTTGCCATTTACTCTCTGTTTCAAGAGATTTTAGGCATGCAGAACTGATGTGCAAAAAATACAAGATGACAGTTAGTGGGACATCTTTAAATTTGAGACTTGACGTAGGATACTTTATCAGCCCCACAGACTGCATGTGGTACTGAACAGGAGTTCAAGAGCCATACACAAACCAAGAGAGGAGTATCCTAGGGAAAAGGGAGGCTAAATCCTCCATAAAAGCAATCTCAGATCCTTCAGGGCCATTATACCCCTGCTATCATTAGTTTCATAGAAACAAATATTCTGGTTGCTTTATGGAACCTAAGGGAAGGAGTGGCTTTAGCTTCCTCCCCCCCCCCCCCCCAGAGATTCCAACTGGGATCAGCGCCTCAAAACTACTAATAGATGGGCTGGATCATCAGTCTTTTCCCCACAGTTCAGCTAATCATATAAGCTCCGTGCACCTTGTCTGCCCACACCTGCCCGAAGCACTGGTTTTATTTTTTTTCAAGCAGGCAAAACATGTGCAGAAACAGAAAATTGATGAAAGTACCTTGTGCCTGGTAATGTTCAATCTGCTACCAATGATCTCTGTCATTTTCAATCTACTGCTTTGCTTGGATAGCATAGCTGTGAAGCAGTCCAGTGCCTAGCAATGGAGGATAATGGGGTGGGGAAAATATTTTCAATTTATCTGATTTGAATTTAAGATACTACTTTCCCTCAATACTTGACCCCCAAATAGTAAAAGAAGCAACAAATTAGTAGCACGCCTAAATGATGAAAGCAAGAAAACATAGCACTGGTATTTATTGAGAACATTCCTTCTCGGTTGGTGGGCAGAAAGCATCCAATAATTGCCTAGGAAAAGCAGGGACCATAACACAATTTCTGGGTCATACACTGGTCCCAGACTCCCTCGATCCAGTTCGGCTGGTGGCTACAGCTCAGAGATAGAAAAATCACTCGCTCAAGACTTGGAAGAAAATCCAAAGTGAGTAAACAGTTTGACCGAGGCAAGAATTATATAGCAGCAGAAGGTAGTAGAACTACCTGGGAAAGTCTTGGCTCTGTGGACATAGAGGCAGGCAGTCAATTTAGATGTGTATAGACTCATGGTGCTTTTTGCACACTATTCCAGAAGCAACTTTCTTGTTAAGTACACATGTTCTATACTCCGGGCTGCAGAAAGCATCCAACAATGGAATACGCAAATGCTAAAGTTCAATTAAAGAGGAAAAACACTGAATCTATTGCACTATACCTTTTGAAGGACTTTCCTGCCAGGAAACTGTCTAATGAGGGATGTTGACAACGGTATAATGTCTAGTAAAAGGTACTGGATTTGCCCAAGGCTTGGCATCGCACATCTTGGCTAAGAATATATTGGTGGGCTGTTGGACTGGTTGCTGACCTACCTGAATGTGCTTTGACTTTAAGAGGTTTAGGAAGAAGTGAAGCCTCATATACTGAACATCTGCATGTTTTAACCACCTGGTTAGAGTGGTGACTAAACTCTCTTTCCCAAAGAGGTAGGGTAGAAAACTCATTTTGATAGTCTGTAGGATTTGTGCTGATACACAACATGAACATTTTGACTCATACCTCATGAAAAATATTCAGTGCAGTAGAAGAGAAAGAACTATCAAAGTTGAAAGCAATCCTGTTGCACCAATTTAGCAAGTCCCTAAAACAGAAGGAAAAATTATGAGCCAGCTTTTCTTTCATGCCTCCCGATATACAGTTTAACTGTCTGGTTGTTATTCCCCACCCCCATAGCACCAACTCACTGCATTGAGTTAATGCCTTCTCACTAGGAATTTGGCCAGTGCAAATGGACCCCAACAAACTAGACGCCAGTTGTCTAAAGAGAATTTGCTTTCCCCAAGCAAAATTATCCATCAGCTTAATTGCATTTTAAAATACCTCAGAGATAACTCTCTGCCTTCTAAGCTTGGCCTTTTGTTTTCAGGGAAGTGCAGTGAGTCTTCCATTGTGTTGTCATCTGTTGCAACAGAGCTTTCAGATAGATGCTTATCTCCAGTAAGCTCAATGTAGATGTCCAACAGACAATCTACTACAGTGTCAAGTTTAGGATAATTCCTCTGAAGAATCTGAAACAGGGAATAATTGACTTAATATTTGTTAAGTCATATAACTCAATAAACTTTTATCCAATGAAAGCCACTGTTTTAAACATGCACCAAGAAAGAATTCCTGCTAATTTCAGTAGCATTTGATTAATGGCAAGTGCAGGCAATCCTGTCAACTAGACACAGTGGAGGATCGGAATTACATCTACCTAGTTGTTCACCATGGGCTGTTTATGTGTATGTTGGAGAGTCACATATGAATAGCATGTGCACACATGTGCTTATCTACCCACACAACCTACGCGCATATGATCTGATTGCCAAGTGTTGAATTTCAGCCATGTGACTTGAGCCTCTAGAAGTTTCCAAGTAGGCACCAGTCAAAATATAATGGCCATGTTTATTTAACCATAAGCCAGTGATAGATACCACTCCCCATAATGTATAGCTGAAAAATGTCTAAACTGGCTCCACACGGTGGTCCTAAGTAGCACAGCATTGAGTTTATTTTGCAAGTCTCTTAAAACAAGAGTAAGAAACCTTTATCAGTCTGAGGGCTGCATCCCTCATGGGTAAACTTGCAGAAGCTGCATGCCTGTAATAAGCATGGCTAAAGCCATATCTACCTTTCACACAAATCTGTCCATACCCGCCCCCATAACAAATCTGTCTACACACTACTGTTCAGTCTTTTAGCCCTCCACTCCTCTGGCAATCCACACGCATTCTCAGTCTGATGGATCCACCTTACTGCTCCTCTGTTACCCTTTCCACAGCTGCTTTCATTTTTTCTCTCCTTTTCTCCCCTCTGCCTTCACTTCCACAGGTTCCAGTTCTACATTCTGGCCACGTCCTCCTCTGCTCCTTTGATTGAAATTTCATATTCAGTCTTGGCTTTCCTAAGAAGACTTAAGAGAAGCCATACTGAACCAGACCAAGGGTCCATCTAGCCCAGCGTTTTGTTCACACAGGGGCCAACCAGCTACCCATGGAAGACACAGAAGTAGGACGTGAGCAGAACAGCGCCCTCCTGCCCGTATCCCCCACAACTGGTATAGGCAGCCATACTGCTTCTGATACTAGAGGCAGCATTTAAGCCTCGGAACCAGTAGCCACTGATAACCTTCTCCTCCATACATTTTTCCATTCTCCTTTTAAAGCCATCCACCACTGTGTCTTGCAGAAGTAGATTCTTCTCACACACACACACACACACACACACAACTATTTCCCAAATACTTAACCTCACAACGTATGTAACTGTAATCTGGTTATTTTAAGAGTCCAATATCTTCAATATCTATATAACCTTTGGAGACCAACAGTGTAATCCTATACATGACTACTCCAAAGTAAGTCCCATTGAATTAAATAGGATTCAGTTCCTGGGTGAGTATGTGCAGGATTGGAGTTATTCCCAGGCCGGTATGTACAGGATTGATTTAAACTGTTATTTTAGAATTTATTCTAGTCCTCAACATTTTTTGCATCACATTTTCAACTGTATCCTACAAGATGGGAAAAAAAGTTCTTTTTAAAAAATGAACACTTCTAAGGATAGGAAGTTTGCAGAAAAGCTCTGAAAAGGATCTTACAATTCATTCATAAAGTCATGGTTCGTCCCATCCTCCCTTCCCCTGCCCAACTTACCTCTTTGAGTTCAGCTTTAGACATGTTATCTAGCCGAATTTTCATCCAGTACTTGTCTAGGAGAGCAGCATTGCTATGCTGTTGTTGGTACCAACCACCACCATAACTGAAGACTCTAAATTAATGAAGCCACAAATTTAGGTCTATAGTACTGGAACATGAAAACTATTATACTTCAGCTCCAGGCTAACCATTAGTTCTCTAGGGTTTACTCATTCCAGCACTACATCCAACAGAATCAAAGCCCCAACTGATACCAATACAGGAAGTCTGAACTCACCTACTATAGTCTCCTTCCGATTCTCACACTTTCATTTTACACAGTCCTTAAATAACTGAATAATAAGCTACTGTTTACAATTCTCCACATCAACTTATGAAACATGCTATCTACACAGTACATTCCCCAAATATAAAACTATTTATACACATGCAATTTGAATAATCCTCAATGAAAGACAAGCCAGTAGCATCTGCATATTATGGATGAAAGGCTGAAAAATGGTATTTGGCTACTCAGTAATGTTTATACTGGACCTAAGCACAATTTTAACTCAATTCAAATTAATCTTATGTTTCAACCTATCATTTTTCCAACAACGCAGTTGATCTATAACCCTAACAATATAAGTCCTATTTAAATTTGACCTACCATAATGAATGGGGTTGAAGTCAGAGCAATATTAGATACAACCTATGCTTTTCTATTATTCAGTAATAGAACATGAGGGTCATGACGGACCAAGGGTCCATCTAATCCAGCACCCTGTTCACACAGTGGTCAAGCAGCAGCCCACAGGAGCCCATAAGAAAGACATGGGTGCAGCAGCACCCTCCTGCCCATGTTCCCCAGTACCCAGTGCACATAGGCATATTGCCTCTGATACTGGAAGCGGGGCAAAATAAAAATGCCCACCTAAGTTTGTATGTGCAGCAGCACTGTAAATATAATCAAACTTCATTTCATGAACCTGAAAGTCAAAGGGTACCAAGTCTGATACACATATTTTCTTTTCTTTCTTCCCCCCCCCCGCCCCCCAAGACAGGACAATATGGGGCAGGAAAAAGTTCACAGTAGGACTAATACTAGGTCTTGTCAGTAACTAGTAGTATTATTTGTGCAAAATAGTATGTTAGACCTAGCTTGATTCAAGGGTTAGAGCTTTTGGAATTCGCCTTTAAATTTGCACATGATCTTACAACTTTTTTTCACTTCTATTTTTATGAATTTACTGCATGTTCATTGTCAAAAGCATCCATGACCTAGGCTCCCACTTAGCTTTAAGAAGGCTATATTGTCTACCTTCTTGTTGCAAAAAGATGAAATCCAGGAGCTTTTTTTATACAGTCACTTCGTCCAGGAATCAATAATTCTCCATTTTCCAGAAGAGGAATTAATACAGAGATCTAAGGAACAAAAGCAAGCAAGCAAGCAAAAACACAGAGTATCATTTCCAGAGGTAGTATCTAGAGTGGCACAAGCAATTTCTCTCCTAAAACAGGACTCCCACCTCACTTTTCCTACTGAAGCTCCTTATATCCCACACTGCTAGAGAATGCAGGAAACTGCAAGACTTTTTTCTGCCAAACCATGCATAGGACTGCACTTAAATAATCTGATTACTACTTTTTTCTTTGCAGGTATTGATTCTCAATTTTCAACACTGCCATCATGTAAGTCCATGAGAGAAGCTAGAAATGATTCTGATCCAAGTACAGCTACATACCACATCAAGAGGGGCATAATCTATATCTTCCAGAAGTATCCAGCGCCCTTTGCTGACTGCTTCTGTTAAGGACCCTGGTTGCCAAACGAACTCCCCTGGTACATCTGTACAACGATACATGCCCAGTAATGTCTATCAGAAAAGAGAAAAAAACAAGCAAGCTGTTTAGATTTTATTTTAACCTATTCATGAAAATACGAAGATTTCTGATGCGCAATTTATTTGTTTGTTTTCTTCTATATTTGATATGCTGGAATCCACAAAGCTTTGGAACATTTTTTGCTAGGTAAGTATAAAATATATACCTTCTCAGGAAAACATTTCACAGAATCTGGTATTCTAACAAAAGTCAGCAACTGGTATTTAGATGCAGCAAAATTTTCCTATGTAATATGAACTAAAAAATAGATGCAAAAAAGTAACAACCCATTCAAGGCTCAAACCTTTACTGAGCACAATTTTCAGTTTTAGGAAGACAAAATGTCAACTTTAGGGCAGTAGCAAGAAAACGATATATACGTGGGTAGTCCAACTTGCAGGAATATTTCTACCAGGCTACTCCTGCTTTGTTTAGATGAATCCTTTACACCAGAGGTGGCAAAAAGTAGATCTCCTGAAGTTTTGAACTCTGAGATCTCAGAGTTAATGTCAATACAGTATTGACATTAACCACGCCAGCAGTATGTTATACTACAAAATATTTGGAAATCTATCATCTGCCAACCTGTTTTGTATCAACAGGGAAAGTGAATTAGTAACAGCAAGTGTGGACATAAACTTGCTTCTAATACAAAAGTAATGACTAAATTATAAATAATTACTAACATTTGTTTCATTTTTGCAGCTGGAGGGTTCCTCATACCTAGTCCATTTAGAAACAGAATATTTTTTCTAAAAGACGCTTATTCATTCTTGTCAATCTACATGGCTTCTACAAGTTCAAGATCAGCCTAGGCATTCAATTCTATCTGTATAAATGTTAGATAATGTAATAAGATGGCTAAAATATGTTTCTTATTACCTTACTGTCAGTTTGATCCCCCAGTTGGATTTTCAGAATGTGAGGTGGCTTTGCTCGTCCAGTAAGCGCAGCCAGAAACTCTACTAAAGAGGTTTTGCCACATCCTACTGGCCCTTCAAGCAACACTGCATTTTGTGAAGATACAGCCATAGCAAGGCTTTGAAGATTTGTGCAGGTAGACTTCACTAACACAAATCGGTTCAAGATGTTTGCCTGCTGGGATAGAAACAGCAATGTTTTCAAGCGGAATGCGCTGGAATTATCCATCAGAGAGGAACAGTGTATAAAATAAACCAAGGATGAGAAATTTCTGGCTCTTCAGATGTTTTGGTTTACAACTCCTGTAAGGCTAGATAACATAGCCAATGGTGATAGATGAAATGAATCACAGAGGAGCATACCTGGAGGACCACAAACTGCTCAGTCCTGTAAGTGTCAAGTTACTATTTAAGGACACAATCCCATGTATGTTCAGACAAGAAAAGTCCAACAAATCCTAGCATGCCGTGCTAGGAGTTTAAAGACTTGTTTTCTGTCTAAACTGGCATAGCATGGTGCCTTAAAGCTGCTGGGGATGGACAAGAAGCAGACAGGACAGGTAGAGTTTTGCCTGCTTCTCTTGAAGATCCCCCTGAAGCCACTATTTGCCCTCCCCATCCCAGATTCCATTTATTATTTGGATACAGAGAGGCATAATCAAGCAATCAAAAAAACTGAATTGAGAAAGAGACACGCACAATTGTTAGAAGGCACTGAGATCACTCCCATTTCCTGTGCTTGCTACTTTAAGAAAGAAGACAACAGTACTGGCATCATGCCTAATTTCAGACCTCTACTTTTGGTTTCAAAAATTCTACTTACTTGAAAGTGTATTTTAAGTTTTGTTTGGGTTTATCAAAGGGAAACCCTCTGGGAATCCCACAAACACCACCTTGGCTTCCAGGATGGAAGAAAGATGGGATGTAGATATAATAAATAATGCAATATTAATGTGCTCACACAACACTGGGTCACCAGACAACTGTTTTTGGTATGGCTTTCAAACCTGTATGCTGCTTCCCATTTCTGCATCTTCAGACTAGACTCCCAACTCCATTGTGAAACTGTCACCTTTTTACTTTACTTTTCCCTTCTGCCCTAACTCCTTAACAGATGACCAAGTGATACTAAGCATTGTTGGGAGGGGGATGCCTCACTCTAAAAGAGGGATGCTGAACCTTAGCTTTTAATTATCATTTGATAAGAATAAGACTTGTAAACATCAAACCATGTATCATAGCCTACTAGCATTGAAAAAATATCCCATTCCTTGTTCTAGTCTATCATTTCTTGCAACGTTCTTCGATAATATGGCAGAATTCAAAGCATCATCAGATTAGAAAAGCTAGCTTGCTTGCTTGCTTTCTTTCAAGGTACATTTGCTGTTGACATCTCTAGGACACTCTATCTGAATGCTGCTCCCTGGCTCCACAGCAAATGTTTCCTTCCAAGAATAATTCCTTCATAATTTCTATGAAGGAAATTTCTATTTTTTCCTATTTTTCATTGAGAAAGTAGTTCTGGATTATCAGAGATGGCCTTTGAATTCCACACTGCTTGCTCTTGCAGCATACACAATCTTCCCTCAAAATTGTGTATTCAGACAAAAATGTCTACTATTGTTTGCAACACTTCAGAATAATTCTAATAATTCTAATTCCATCTGCTCAACCAGGTCCACCACAAAGTAGATTTTGCTGCACATATCACTTACTATTGTCAGATCGTTATCACTGTCAGTATTTTAAAAATTGAAATTAATCATCCTCTACAAATGTTAATCTTTGAGCTGCCCTTTTATGCTGATCGGTCTTCGATCCAGTTGTGACTCTCATTGATGGGAGAAGGGAAGGCAATTTCCACCAATAACCCTTGCAGCCCCACCAAAAGTGTGAGTGGCACAGCAGTTTCAGGAGGAAGGCAGGAATCAGTAACATACAACTAATCAATCATGTACTTACATTTTCTTGGGGCCCAAACTGTTGTCTAGGAAGCAGCACTCCACATACTGCTACTACCTTTGAAGAAAGGTCAGCAGATACTAGCTGTCCCTGAGTGTACCGCAATTCCCCTTCTTTGTCCCAAAAGGTTAAGTCTGGGTTGGCCAAGACCAGACCAGACTCGACATTCTGCATCCGTGATTCTTCCAGTAGCCTGTCAATATCACACACATTTGATACAGCATTTTTAACATGTACAGTCCACTGTACTAAGCAATATAAAGTATGAAATGAAAACACACACACCAACATGTAGAAACGGCTAAAACAAACTCACTTCAGTCTGAAATGTATTAACTCCTCTGGATTAAAGATCTTCTTCAGGAATGATAATCGATGATCATCATTCATACATGTTACCAGTGCAAGACAGCTGGCAGTATACCTAAAAAGCAAAAATGGTACAATCAACATTTTGTCTCAGGACTAAAGCATTAATTTCTGTGCAGAAATTCAAACAAGTTTCTCCATTTCTCTAGGCCAGCCTTGCCTGCCTAGTCTGGTGTCCTCCAAACTGTTGAACTACAGTTCTCAGCATTCCAGACCATTAGCCATGCTGGCTGGAGCAGTAGAAATGAGAGTACAAAAAATCTGGAGATGTTGGAGTTGGGAAGGCTGCTCTAGGTCACGTCTTCAAGAAACAGTATATCACTGATGCAGATGACTGCACACTGACCGATGTGAAGAACTGTTGCTGTAGTGGGATCATGACCATTTTCTTATTTTTTTTCTTTTGCGTTTATGCTTGTAACAGGTGAAAGAATGATGGAAAGGCAAAGAAAGAATGCATGCAAAAGAACAGGCACAGAAGAAGCACGTCCTGCATTTTAAGATTCAGTAAGTTAAAAATTTCTGAACAGAAATGATGAAAAATTAGGAAATACAGGAAATATAGGCAAATGCAGTTGAGAGGTTGGAAGTTGACTTCCTACCCCTCCTTCCTGTTCATGCAAGTTGACTGATTGTGGTAATTTGATCTTTGAGGATCCCTTTTATGCACTCATCACAGACTACCCCATTCAGAAGGGTCTCCCAACCCTCTGTGTATCATTTCTGGGAAGCTAATGGGCCTGCAAAAGGGGGGGAAGGAGCAGGGGAGTTTGCTTCCATCAGGATAGCTGTACACACCTAAATGTACACCCCACCCTACCTTCTTCTGGAAAGGTGATAGCATGTATGCCTTTATTATTTTCTAAATCTACTCTCATGTGTTGGAGAGACCTTTCCAGAACAGAAGAAAGTCCAAAAAATGTTCCCACTGGACTGAAAGGGTGAAAGATTTGGGACCCAGCTATTCTAATTATCTCAACCATGATCTGAGCTTTTAGCCAATGAAAAACCATGTATTACATCAAGTTTAATAAAAGATAAAGGGTTAATTTACAATGTTATACTCCTGTGCTGATAAAAGCAGAAATGAATGGCTCCTGTAACAAAATGGGGGGAAAACCCACAGATCAAACTTGTTGGATTTCTACAAGATGCCTACATAAAGAGTACTTTCACAGTTTGGGCCCACAGATTGTGCTTCACCAACCCTTGCTATGCTACAAGTCAAGCCAGCTCAAGGACTTTGATCTTTGAACTACTTCACAATTAAAAAAAAATCTGCTAAGGAAATCTGTGTTAAAATTGGTTAATTTGCATAAATCAGAACATGAAAAAGTGGGCTTAGCATTATTTGCATACAACTGGCTGATCTGTGCATATCCGATCTGAAAAAGCACATTGCCTAACACAATTTGCACAAAAATTTACTTATTTATGTAAATTAGAATGTGAAGAGCATGTGCTCCTGATGTGATTTAAGCAAACTGTACTAGGACCATATGCGTTTTGCATTCCAATTTGTACAAATTGGCCAATTTTATCCACAATTTTAAGTTTATTTTTATATGTGCAAATCATGATCCATTTTGGCTCACTTACGATAACTGGATTAGAAGGCAACAGGAAGTCTGTTGAGCTCCAACAAACCAGATTTTCCTGTTTTGGTATATCTCTGCAGTTGCCTTACTTCAAGTGCGCACAATGGACTCTCAGTAAGCACACACACTATGAAATACACGCATATATAGTGAATACATTTATTATTCATTCATAACTTTACATACTGCTCCACATTAATGAGATTCTAAAGTGGTGACCAATGAAAAATAAAAGAAATAAAACAACCCTATTAAACATTTTGCTTTTAAAAAAAGGATTTCAGTAAGACCTGTGGATAATCGATCAAGGAAGGCTCTTTGGGATACAGATGTCTTCAGGAGAAGCATTTTTTTATGCTTTTACCTATATGGTTTTTTTTCAAAAGTGTTCTTCCAATTATCCATTTAAATGATCCTCTGTATCTGTCTTCTGGGCTTAAAAATCCAATTCAGTTTTGGTCAAGTCATTCTCTATCCCGATTTTTATGTTATATACCTCATAAGGAATCTTAGGAGGACCAGAAAATGTAACTTACCATCGCACTAAAGTATCATGACTCCTCAGTAAGGGAACACAAACACTCCAGTCCCACATTTCTCTGAATACAGATTGTTCTTTTTGAAGAAATTTGTAAGCTGCTTCCATGAGATCCCTTAATTTCATCCGCCGGCGCCCATATCGAACCACACTTGCATCTGAACTCTCCAGAAAGAGTCTTTGGAACACTGGTGCTGTCTCTTTAAAGTATCTCAGAGCAAATCTACAAGAAATGAAGACACTGTAAGTAATTCGAGCTGAAGCCAGGTTCTTATCTGCAACAGTAGCTGCCACAAATATTGGAAGAAATTGAGCAAAGAAAAAGTACAGCCCCTATGAAAGTTAAATTAAGCCATTCATTGTGGTAGATTGTATTTCTAATGTAAGTAAAAATAAATAAATATCAACACTCCTAAGTTTTATTTTTCCAGGAATTAAAGCCAACCTGCCCATTGTAGGGAAAAGCAGTCATAGCTGGGAGTTAAATAACATTTTGGACTTGGCACTTAAAGGACAGCCAATAGGCATCTGGTTCTAGTTCTAATGTGAATTTTAAATATTAGAAAAAAATGAAGCAATAGTAACTTTAAGCTTTAAGATTTAAGCTTCCCCCCGAAGCAGTCTTCTTCCTTCATTCTAACAGAAATGCATAGATCAGTCATGTAAAATTCTTTGTTCCCTAAAACACAAAGCCTAGGTTTTATGTCCCTTATTTTCCAATATTATGCATCTTAACCACATTTACTGGGAAAGGGGATAAATAAATGATGTGCAAGACTTATAGAAAGATGGGATGAAGGGATAAAACATTTATGTAGTGAATAAAAATAAATATGAAACTATATGTAGTGACCGATCAGTGATTGCAACAGACAACATAATCAAGTTCGGCATGTGGATACTGGCTCACTATAGGATGCTCCCACCAGAGGTTCCCCATGGCTAATAGAAGACTGTAACTGGTAACACACAGGCTATAATTTCTGTAAGCTTACATAGCCTATTGCTATCTCACACTCTGTATTTCACTAATTCATTAGTCTGACAGTACCATGCCTGTACATTTGACACATATTGTTGCAGTAACATACAACCCATTATAATTGGATCAGTAACAGTACTATTCAATCCAGAAAACAGGTGGCAAACCACAAACTGGGCTCTTTCCTGTAGGGCAAAGTGTGCAGGCCCCATCTGTGGTGAGACCTGTGTATTGAAGTGTCTCTAATCTATTAATATGGTAAAAATCAATTCCTACACCATGTATAGCTATGACCTATCAAGCAGACATAACTGGCTATTGCATGAAGCGGCCTCCAGTCAATTGTCTACCTAGAAACAAAATAGAAGCACATGACTTACGGCATCACATCATGATGATCCCCAATAAGCTTGCTCATTGCCACACAGAGTCTCTCATGAAGATCATGGTTAATCTGTCCACTAGATTTAATGATTTCTGCATTTCTTTCCAACAAATCTAGCACGATTGGACGAAACTGACGGCCAATTAGAAGTGTGTATTCTTTATCCACTAATAATTGTGCTAAGGCACTGAGGATGCACTGACGGTCCTGCTGACTCCATATCTGTAACAAATGAAATGAAAACAAATGTAAGTTCCTTCTGTTTAAATTTCCACAAAAAGGGATCAAAACTAAACGTTCAGTTAGAGAAAAATCTAAAAAGCAATAATGAGAAGGAAGGCCTTTTACATGCACTATCACTCAAATATTTCTGTTACTCACCCTTTATCCATTCTAGTAAGAGAACAGAAACTGAGAATTACTAAAATGAAAGAAATGCAACTTTGTCTTAGCAATGTTTACTTGGTTGCTGACTATGAGTTCTTAAAATGTAGTGGCTATATTTCACAGTGGCTAACATAACACAGTGTTATGCTTCTGCACCTCATCTCTCATCATGTTCATTGGGGGAGTTAATCTTTAGATATTTTGCACGACAATTCCCATAAGCCACAGTAAGCATGGCTAATGGTCAGGAACTCTGGTAATCTAAAACATCTGGAGAGCACTAAGTTAGCTATGCCTCACATAGGTTAAAAGCTTAGCTAGTTGGTCCTTAAGACACTGGATCTGTTCCTTTCCTGTCACTGCTTTTCTCCCTACTCCTAAGATATAAAGTATTTTAGAAGCATACACTTAACCCACCCTAAATTGCCATGATAAAATGGGCTGCATTTCCAAATAAATCAATCAATCAATAAATAAGAACGGCTATAGGCAAGAATCAGACTGTATCATACAACTACACATGAAGAATTGCATACATTTGAGTGCTAATATTATTTTCCAAGGATGGGCTCATATAACCAAATTTCTCTATAGAATTATGTACGCAGGTACGTAACTGTGAGGAGAATTTTCAGCAGCTGCAGTGATAGACCTGGCTACTGTTTACCATATGCATGGCCTCGTTGACATGAATCTCTTTTTATTGTGTCCCTGAAAAATTACAGCATGGAATATTCAGTAATATGAACCAACCCACAAAGATGGTTTTTAACATTCTGCCAAGTGGAGTTTGTGTTGATTCTGCTTGAATGTATTTATTAATTTGACAACAATCATATTAATTTAATTCAGGATTACTACCTGCCCACACAGTTCTATTTCAGCCCCCAGTATTTTCTGACTAGGTCCCATCTAAGAAAAGATAGAAAGGTTTTCACATGAATAGATCCTAAGCTATTGTGCAACCTCATTCTTGTGTAGGGAGGCACTCAACAGGGCTAGAGCCTTGGACTGCTTCTGAAAACAACGAACTGATATATAGTACTGATTATAAACAGACGTGAATACTGCACCCAAAGGGTAAAAATATGATTTCTTTAGCTACTATACATAAATAGGGCTATCCCCTTATCAACTCTGTGAACCGATTTACAATGATGAACTGTAACACAATGCATGATGTTGGGTGTGAGGCAAAGGCTCTAGTCTATGAACAGAAGGAGCTCTTTGGATACAAACTGATATATGGTGCATATTGCACATTATGAAGTACATTTTTTCCACTCATGTTGTCTGCTGCTGCCAAATTTTGGTCCCTAGTAAAGGGCTTTTATGTGTGAATGATTTTCCTTTGGGGAAAGGGAACTTAGCAAAGATTTGCTTCCCTGTAACTTCAAGCCATTTGCTCTAGCCCTGTCTCCTGGAGAAAAGAAAAAAGTCTGCTGTATTTTCAGCACGGGAGCCTTTCTGATATCTGAACTGTCTTCCTTTAATCTTCTCTAGGCTAAACATACCCAGCTTTCTGAACTCTTCCTCACAGGATTTGGTTCCCAGACCCTTCACCATCAATCACTCTTCTCTGAATATGGTCCCATTTATCTGTCTTAAATGTGGTGCCCAGTACTGGACACAGTTCTCCAAATACAGTCTCTCTAATGTAGAATAGAGTAGAATTGTTACTTCCTGTGATATACAATTATGCCTCGTAGATTGAACAATTCTAACATCAAATGACCCAGAATTCAAACGAGATGAGATAAAATTGCTCTGCTGTCCAAACAATGCTTCTTAAGTTCAAAGTGTAAGTGAGGTCAAAAAAATGCAATCGCAGCAAAAATGTCATCAACTGTGTGTCCAAGTCGGAAAAAAGCCCTGATGTCCTGAATTGATTTACGACAAATAACTTCAAGTCAAAACGAGATGAATTGATTCAAGTCAAAACCAATCAATTGGTTGGAGAGAGATTTAAATACATCATAAGAATGATGTTTTCCAAGAAATCATCCATTCCACACCTCTTAGGTTTTCTCCAGTATTTGCTTTCAGGTCACTATTTGAACAAAGACAAAGGAACTTAAACCACACTTCCAGTTCTCCAGTTAGAATGCACAGCTAATGAGACAGTGCATTCTTGGAGAAACTTAATACCATTACATGCAGTAGTATACATCACACCAAGATAATTACATATGTGTTCATCAAACAGGAGTCTTCATGTGGCTTTCACCACACTTATCCCCAGCAAAAGTGCTATGTATTGACAAATAAATGAAATTAATGTTTGAAAGCCTGAAGATTACAAAAGCTCTCTATTTAAAGCTCTGGAATGTAAAGACTGAAATTTAAACCACATTCAAAACCTAACTAGCTCCTCTTCACATTGATCTTAAAAGTCAGCTTGAGCAAGTTATTTAGAAAATTTCTAGAATACTCTGCTTTGGAGCTTAATTTGGCTTCCTTTGAAATTATTGTTGAATAGAGTTAAACAATTTCTTCACCATGTTAAATAAGGTGATGAGCCAAATTAAATTCCAGGACATAACCTGCTATACACAACTTTTCAAGACCAGTAAGAGAGGAATCCCTAGTAAGAAAGGCCATTTTTGAATGTGGTTTTACATTTCAATCTTCACAATTCAGATCCATCTCTATAGAGCTTTTGTAAGCTGGAGACCCTCACACATGTCAATTTTTTAATACACAACCAACGTTTTTGCAAGTTATAGAGAAAAAAGATAGAAACCTCATGCATTTTTACATTTGATGAGCATACATGCATTTACTTTAATGTGCATGTACCATGAACACAATACATAATACCCTATCCACCATTATCACACTTTATCCCATGCAGATGTACTTGGCACTTACAATGTTTGAAATAAATTGAATCTCTTCTAAATACTTTCCCTTGTGAGGGATTACAAAGAACCTTTCCCCATAAATGGATGTTTCTGGTCACAACTACAGCATTCCATTTTTAAGTGATACAAGATTTCATCCAAAAAGAGCAAACCGTATTTTTCTGCCACCCAAAGGCAAATGATGAGAATGGTGTATTTGTACCTACACACAAATTTGTAAATACAGAAATACTAGCATTGTTCCAACTAAGCGAAGAATCTTCCAAACATCAAGAGATCTTAAATAGGGCAGTTTTTACTCGCACCTGAAAAACTGCCTAAATGTTCTAGCATCCCGCTTTTTCTACCATAAGAACTCACGAACTTGCATATTTTTTGTGGAAATGGGATCGGTCCTTATAAAGGTACTGCTCAACTGCAGAAGTTGTATTTCACCCGCGTCATGGACCAACCAGATTCCACAGCCAAAGCGTGTGCCTGTTTTTACTCTTCGAGAGCTCTAACAAACTGATGGCGCTTTAAAACACTCTTTGACGTTCAATATTTTATCATCACCAGCAGCAATCCTCTTGAAGACGAAGAAGCTGAGAAGTAGGAAAGACGAATGGAGAGGACTGTCCACTCCTCCCCCCCATTACCCAACGCCATCAGAAGACAAAGGGGCAACACGCAGCTTGCCCACCCGCCTTCTCCTCCTCCTCCAGCCAGGCAACCCCCCCCCCCCAAGGCAGGCAAGGGTGGGTAAACAGAGGTGGATGGGTGGGTCGGTGGGTGCCTGCGGGCGGGCGGGCGCGGCCGAGGGCGCGTGAAGATGGACGGGCAGCCCCAGCAAGGCAAGGCGCACGACTTGCCCCTCCCCCGCGGCATGTCCACCATTCCCCTCCCCCCCCCCAGTGCGGAGGGCGAGGAGGCCGCCGCTATTGTTGCCCTCCCACCTGTTTGGCGAGGAACCTGCTGAGCTCGCCGCTGCTCCTCTCGCTCCTCTGCACCACCAGCTGCAGCGGAGCCGCCACACGGAGCCGGAGATGCTCCATCCTTGGGCGTTCTCGGGGGATCCTTCGGCTCGAGCGCCCCTCTTCCCAGAGACGGGGGAAAGGGGTGTGCGCCCGCCCGACCGCCCGCAGCCGCCGCCACCCGCTAGTATAAGCGCGACACGTGGGAAAGAGGAGCGACTTTCGTTTTCCTCCTGACTGCTTTGCGTCATTTGAGGGCGACGCCAGCCCAAGGTTTGCCTCCTGGTCGTCGAGACTCCACTTGCCTGACTCTCAAGCAACAAAACTACCCGCCCCATCATGCACGGCGACACCCAGCCGAAGCAAGCGGGCGTAGACGCCTTGCAGGGCGCTGGAATGGAGAGGATTTGCACGATTCCTCACTTTGCTGCGGCTTGAAGTTGCGCGGGCTGGCTACTTCATCAACAAAGATCAAGTTAGCGCCAATTCTCAACGCATATGATACAAAGTTGTTATAAAGGATAATCTATCAAATTCAGTCCCTATCTGAAATAAGGAGATTGTGATATAGCTCTTGTGATCCCCAACTGTAATATGCGGATTTATTACATTTTAATCCCACCATTACTTGAAGGAGTTCAGGATGGGTTGACAGCAAGATCCTTTCCCATATTAACCTCACAATAATCTATTACAATAACCAGACTTCGTAGCACTAAATTATGCTAAACTTTTTCTTCCCGCCCCAGTTTTGCTTAACATCTAGGCAGAAGATTTCTGGAGAATTCAAAAGCTTGTTCACTATTTTGAGATATTCTAATTAGTCATAATAACATTATTGCCCTACTGTGATTTCTAGGGAGTTGGGCTGAGATATGGTGACTAGCTCAAGTTCACTCAGAAAATTTAATGGCCAAGATGTTTGCTTACTTTAGATTACAGCAGCTGTCACAAAGTTACATTACAGAATTGTAAACCGCACATTTTATCTCAGCCGCAGCCCTCTCCAACCCTCAGTATAGCTGGACTGCATTTTGGCTTGCATTAACCATGTTTTACAAATTTAAACAATATTTTTAAAACGAGATGAATTATTCTAATAAGTTCAGGTAATGAAGTAACTATCACTTTAGAAGTGAATGCATGATATGTCTTAGGGGCACAAAAGTATTTAAGTCTGTGAATTAAAAGTAAAAGATTTTAAAAACATTCCCTGATTCTCATAGGAATGTTGATGCAGTTTAGACTAATGAGAGACAGAAGGGAGAAAAGGTCTAAAGTAGGTTCTACAGATTTTTGGCTTACAAGTCCCATCATTCCTAGCCAGCAGAGCCAAAGGTGAGACCAAACTTCTGGAGGGTTGCAAGTTGCTCACCATGTTCAACCCCTGAGGAAGGCATAAATAGCAGTCAGGGCCAAAATACATAGGGCTACTCCTTAGAATGAACCTATTTATTTTTTCAGTGTTCTGAGACTTCATCTCTTCATTCCAGTATACTTTCATCCAGTGCATCCAATGCATCTGATATTATGGACTTGAGTCCAGGAAAGCTTGCGCAGTAAAATAATAATAATAATAATAATAATAATAATAATAGTAATCACCATCATCTTAAAACTGTTTTACAATAGGTTAACTCTGAAAAATGGGACTTAAATGACTACATTCCTTGTACAGTATTATTATAATCCAAAACTGGGCTGCACAATTCAAAACAGACTAGAAAGTAAGCCCTATTAAATTCAGTAGGACTCACTTTCAAAAATGACAGTTAGGATCAGTTTGCACAAAGATCCTTAATAGGAAGCAGCTAAGAACAGAGTCTTGCTTAAGGAGATGCCCTGGGAAAACGCACACACTGCTACTAAATGCCATCACTGTAAGGAACATTAAAAACAGCATGGGATAGTAAGGTAGGCACCAATAAATAGTACAGATAGCTTGTTGTTGTTGTTTTTTTGAATCCCAGACATTTAGCTATATTTGACTAAAAACTTAATGAAATATTTAACCAAAAACTGGAATATGTAAAGCTGCAGTTTTATTTATGCTTGACTACATTAAACTCAGTGGGTCTTTCCAATGAGTAAAGATAGGCATATAGCATCTAGACGCAAAACTTTTTAAAAATCTGCTCTGTTTACAAAAATTGCAAAAAATTAGTGGTCCAGTTATATAACTTGGGTCATCCTTATTCTATTAGCTTTTGGGCTGCTAGACAGCTATTTAAAAATGTACAGATGCAAATCATTTCGTTTCAGGTCTGAATATTACTTGCAATGAAGATGTGTAAAGGCACCTTGAAGGCTAGCAGTGCAATCTGAGGTATGTTTATTCAGAAGTAAGTTTCACTGTGTTCAATGGAGCATATTGCCTTGTGGATAGCATCACATGGTAACATGTATCACATGGTAACATGCATTATGCAGCATAAGCTTTACTGTAAAATCCTATGTATGTTTATGTAGAAGTACTAACATATTTAACTGGATTTACTTGCAGCTCTATATAGGGCTGATGTCTTAAGAAATTCCATTTTGTCAAATGTATGAAATTTAGCCTTAACACCCACAAGGGTTTATAGAAAAACACTTAAACAGCAGGGCCCAGTTTAGTTTCTCTAAACCAAAAGTGAAAAATTTATAGCCCTTCAAATGTTGAATAGAACTCACATGATTCTTGATCAATTCTCATGCTGGCTGGGGCTGTAGGTATATACCTGCCAGCTGACGATAAAACTTAAGGTATCTGATGTAATGGTCTCAAATAGTTTATGGCAGAGGAAATCTATATGCATATTGGTTTGGCATTTGATATTAAAATAGAATGACAGTTAAAACACCAGACAGTGGTGCAGCTAAACCCTAGACATCCTACAATCCTATGCATGCTTAGTCAGAATAAAGTCCTACAAGACATGCTGGGAATTGTAGGATTTTTTCTTTCTAAACATGTGTAGTTTTCCACGTTTTATAGGTGAGGCTTTAGATGGTAATTAGTACCACTTAAAATGCCATCTAAATGTTAGTGCATAAAGAGCTATTTCTACATTCTGTATATGTTCAAATAACACAACTGTTTAACCTCTCCCCCTACAAAATCTATGTTGTAAGCCGCCCCGAGGCTTCGGCGAATGGGGCGGCATAAAAATGTTTTAATAAATAAATAAAATAAATAAAAATCACCTTCTGGGCATGTGCAGATTTGCAATGTGAACTCACTTGAAGTATAGCACTATCATGACTGCAGATACAAAATGGAATGTTGTTGTTGTTGGTGTTGTTAGTCGCGAAGTCGTTATATTACAGCTAATGATTTCAGCGGCTGCTGCTCTCTGGATTATCATTTGAGAGCTCGTAGCCTGGCCGCACCACTGCCCAGCTAAACAGAAGCACCCATTACTACGCTTTAAGAACACCCACCAGCCTGTCATCATCCTGAACTCAGAAGGCGGGCTAAACGTCACTCCAGCGGGGCGGAGCCTTGACGCTTCCTTTTGGCGCCAAATGTTTTTCGGGCGGGGGTGGGGCCTAGTGGCGTCACTACGGGGTACGTGCTCTAGCGTCTCCTGTGATTGGTGGAATCATTGCTGGTTCCACCCCCTCCTGCTTGGCCTGTGGTGGGGAGGGGTGGGGGCGAACGGCGGAGGCACGGGGAGAGCTCCGGTCTTGCGGGGGGTCCCCGAGGGCGTCCGCGAAGGAGGGAAGGCAGGACGCGTCACTCCGGTTTGTGAGAATAAGGGAGGAAGCGGGGAAGGGTGGGGTGGCGCCGGGTCGGGTCGGGTCGGTATGGGAGGAAAGATGGGAAAGTCAGACAGGCTACTGCCGCTCCGTCTGGTCTCCAGCCTCCTTCACTTCTGCAGTACTTTCTCTCCCCCCACGGCCGCCGGCCCTCTATAGCTCCATCCCTTCTTCAGTAAGTTGCCTTCTTTCCATTCCTGCTTCCCTGCCTCACACGCAACGCCATGACAGCCCACCTGCCTGCTCCCAGCCTGTCCCATCAGTACCCCACTCGTATTTCCCCACCTCTGGGAGTCACACACCTTACACACACGTTTCCCCGAGGCCTGGTCTGTACACACGTATAGGCATTTCCCTCGCCCCCCGCTTTTCTAACTCTTCATTCTGCTTCATTTGTTTCGCCCAGTTCAGGACAGCGTTCCTAAGAGCATGTGCAGAGTGATTTGCTATCGTGTTTTGAGGAAGTGCCCCCTGCAAATGTGAGGTTAGGACCTGCAGTCAGCTTTCAGAGGCACTTCTCAAGGTGCTTCTGCGAAATAAGGTTTATTGGGTGTTTACCAAGGAAAGGGCCATTTTGGTATGGCATCCTGACTATTGAGTGCATTCCCTGCTGTTGTTTTTTTCATATCCTTTTCTAGACCAACTAAACTTATTATTTCCCTACTCTTTTTAGATCTGTGTGCTTCTTATCCACCAAAGTAAAATGCA